TAATTTGAATTCGTAGAGAAAAATTGGCTGAATAGAGGCAAGAAATCAAAATTTGGAGAAAAAAAAGTATAATTGCATCACTGTATAGATTGAAAAATTCTCAATAGATCAGTACACACTAAGTCACAGTAGAATGAATATTCATTGAGATATGGAGCTACAAAAACACATGATATTTCAATGTACAAAACTTTCGAAACTACTTAATATGTCACTCGTATCTCTTTATACATTCCAATATTTGCTCAAGTTATATGTCAAGCTCCATTTTTGATATACAGTGTGTAAAAGCCAAAAGGAATAAATTAATTTTTTCGGTTGCGGTACATGTTTTAACAAAATCCCGAAACACGTCAAATTTAAATTATAATTTGACATTCGGAAAAATGCTACCCCTACCTTATATAACCGGCGAATGACAGGTAGAACCTCCAATTTTTCAAATGGGAAGTATAGGCTTCTGATATATCGTTTGAAAGATCTATTCATTCTCTATTCAAAAATGTTATCGCTTTCAAGTTTATTACAACAATTGAGATAAAATAAAAAATCATGTGGTTACCGAAATTTAATGAAATACACTCAAATGTTATTGCAATATACTCAAAACTCATTTCATGTTGAGGTATTGATAATAAGAAAGTAAGCAAATACTATAGCAATGTTCTTTTTACATGGTATCCTTTAAAAAACTGTAAATATTTTCCGTGGCGACGATAGTTTGAAACGCCTTGTCAACTGGTTTTGTATGTTAGAACATTACTTGTCAGTATTTCAATTTAGGTTCAAAGTTCGTTAACTTCAAGTCTGACAAATGGTTAGGTTAACGGAAATGCATAAAACAATAACTAAGAAAAGAGAAATGGAACTTTCTATGTTTTTACCACTTTTATTTGTAACTTACGTTACTGCAGTTTCGTCCTATACAGACATTTTCAAACTTATAGGACGTATAGGACGAAACTGCAGTAACGTTAGTGACGAATGAAATTGGTAAAAAAACATAGAAAGTTTCATTCCTCTTTTCTTCATTATGATTTCCTGCCACGTAGTAACGGCTACATCCATCAATTCATAATTTCAAAGGAGAAAATGTACAGAGTCCTTATCAATCTATAAGTTTCCCCGTATTTTAGTAATTCATTTGAAAATGTTCTCTACCACGGGATTCAGAGGCAAATTGAATGTTTCCACTGACTTTTCTTCAGATGGATTAGATATGAGCAGTTATGCAGCAGACAATGTGGCTCCTTGTCGTTATAATCCATATGCACTTTCCAGTGGAACTACTCACAATGGACATTACACAGCATATTGCAGACACCCATATAGTGGCACGTGGCATGAATACAACGATTCACACGTGTTTCCAATTTCGCCACTTGTGAGCGATGAGGCATATGTCCTCTTTTATGAACAGGAGGGAACGAAGCAGCACCTTTGATGCATTTTTTTTCCTTCTTTCGTTTTTTTTATAATCTTAGTTCTTTAAATTGATTTGTATTTCATGATTGTTTCGAATTTCATTATTTATTGTAATATTTCAAATAAAATAATATTATCGCTTGAAAACGATAATATTTTTGAATAGAGAATGAAGAGACCTTTCAAATGACAAACCTATACCTGTCATTGGAAGGGGGTTGAAGGTAAGGCTTACATTTTTACGTTGACTAATGTCAAATTATAATTCGCATTTGACGTGTGTCTCCAGAGGCTCCAATAACTTTAATACATCGCCAGAACACTCAGTGACACGACTATCGTCAAACCTAACCAGTCCGTTTCGTCTTTGATCGAGGTGTAATAATGACCAGATTCAACGCCAGAACCACAGTGAATAATGACGGCATGAAGATTATAATAGTGGTCTGCTAGCTTGAAGTATTCATCTATTTCGAACCTTTGTAAGAGTTTGGTGCTTCCGTCAGAGGTTGAGTCATATTTGAAGATCATCAGTGTTATTATTAGATTGACTGGTGTCTCAGCTATATTTGTTTACTAATAACAGTCGGTTAGTTTCGCGCATGTTTGGCAGTACAGTTGATCATCACCTGTTGAAAGTTCCTTTTTCAGACGATTTAACAATAGGCACGGACTGATTATTAGTCACATTAGGAAACGCTAGTTGAAGTTCCAGAACGGTCAGGAGTCTATAAAAATAAAAACAACTGGAGAAATATACCGAAAAGAACGTTATGAAGAAACCACTGAAAACTTCCCATTGAAGGGACACCTGATTGCAATAGAGCTATGAAATGAATATCTAAACTCTAGGTTTGGCAACAAAGGAACAGATACAGCTCCTACTATGTCGAAAGTCAGGCATTGGATCACATGAGGCCAACAATTCATGGACAACCCAAATTGTTTGGAAGAATATGACATAGATCCAACAAGGGATCTGTTCAAGCTAGTACAGGGCACAAGAATGTGTTATAAAAAAAATAGAAGGAAAATACAAAAAGCCCCTGATTTTCCCGTGTTTTACGGAAATTTTGGAGATAATTGACAAGTATGACAAATTCCCAAGTAGTAGAAAAAAAGTCATAAGTATGTCACATATTTCATCATGTTTGTGTTTCGAGCGAATCAAAATGTGTTTTTTGTTTATGAAAAATGTACCTATATTTCAACTGGTGAATTCGAAACGTCATGAATTTAATGTTTCATTACCGTATCATTACAAATACCAAGTCATATATTTTGTAATCTGTCATGTTTTCTTTTTGATCTCTTTGATAATATTCGATACTTTGTACACTTTCTTACACGTTCCAACACAACCAAATTCGAACATGAATATACCATTATTTAAAAGGCAGAAAATGGCAGAAAAAGACCTGTCATAAGAAGTGCAAACTTCCGAACAAAAAAGTAAAACTTACTAACGGAAATTCTTGACAAAAATGTGTGTGCCCAGAAAATTTTTCTAGATACAAACTGGAAGAAGAAATCCATCCGGAACAACTACTTTCAAATATGTGAATATCAAATCACCAGGATATCACGTTATGTTTTTCAGTTTGTACTTTACCAAACGGACAAAACTACAACAAAACAGCAACTGTGTCGATTTCGACAAAACGAAAAGTTGAGTTTTCAACTGTTTCAGTAGACAACGAAATTTCCCGTCTGCAGGTTAAACTAGTCGCAAGCACAGAAACAGAAACTTATTCAAATGGACATGTGATGAATAAAAATTATCTGAGTTTAAGGATCAACTATTGACCATCTTTAGTATTGGAAAATGGTTCAATGAATGGCATTAGTCATTTCTATTCGGTCAGTCAATGAATTTTGAGAATTTTTCAAANAATTTCCAAAAGAAACATTTAATTCCCCATATTATTCCTTGTGAGGTCCAGGGATATGCAATTAGGTCGACTTTTTTTCTTAAAAACTAAGCAAGATACGAAAACAATTCAAGAAACAAAAAAACATTATTTTTGATTGCTCAATCCAAAGGAATGATAAAAATTGCCCAAAAGTCAGTGACGTACATATTCGTTCAAATTCCCGCTCGAGACGCCACTGGACTTAATAAATTGAATCACGTTCAGGCTAAATCAGCTCCTTAATGTTATGAATACCATTGCTAAATTACAACAAAATTAGGTAAAGGATACACCCTGCATCTTGAGAACGAAAGATTTGCGGACCCATGTTTATATGAACATTATATGATCATGAAAATTACCTAAAGAATCGTCTGTATAATTTATGGCACTTACTTAATTAACACCCCGTATAATGTGTCTATGAGTGTTATCTCAGAGAGATTTATTTCAAGATGTTAACATGTTTCAGGAGACTACCTCCTGTGAACTTATAAAAATACGTATTTCCCATTTCAGGACTCATTAAAGTGATAATAAACATCACTATCTTCCAAATCTACGATGGAGAATCACATCTTGAGAATCTGAAACATAAATAATCAATGCTAACTCACCAAGTCATATATTTTGTAATCTGTCATGTTTTCTTTTTGATCTCTTTGATAATATTCGATACTTTGTACACTTTCTTACACGTTCCAACACAACCAAATTCGAACATGAATATACCATTATTTAAAAGGCAGAAAATGGCAGAAAAAGACCTGTCATAAGAAGTGCAAACTTCCGAACAAAAAAGTAAAACTTACTAACGGAAATTCTTGACAAAAATGTGTGTGCCCAGAAAATTTTTCTAGATACAAACTGGAAGAAGAAATCCATCCGGAACAACTACTTTCAAATATGTGAATATCAAATCACCAGGATATCACGTTATGTTTTTCAGTTTGTACTTTACCAAACGGACAAAACTACAACAAAACAGCAACTGTGTCGATTTCGACAAAACGAAAAGTTGAGTTTTCAACTGTTTCAGTAGACAACGAAATGTCCCGTCTGCAGGCTAAACTAGTCGCAAGCACAGAAACAGAAACTCATTCAAATGGACATGTGATGAATAAAAATTATCTGAGTTTAAGGATCAACTATTGACCTTCTTTAGTATTGGAAAATGGTTCAATGAATGGCATTAGTCATTTCTATTCGGTCAGTCAATGAATTTTGAGAATTTTTCAAAGTATTGATTTTCAAGCACTAGAAAAAATTAAGTTGTGGAAAGCACGTTCAAGTCGTTTTTTTGCAAAAGAGGGGAGTTTCATCGGTGGTTCACCCCAAAGTATGACAATGTATGACAATAAAAAATGAAACATAAACTGTTGAACTTCAACAGAGAAAAAATAGAAGAAACATTTTTGAAAACAACTCTGAACAATCGATTCCTGCAAACAGAATTGAAAAATATTAAATTACTTTTCTAGAGTATGTCATGTATATATGCAACATTTTTGCACCTATTCTTTCAGAATTGTATCTCACATATTATCAATTCATTAGTGAAAATACACCCCTTCATTTATCTACTACCGAGTTGAATTAACTATTCGATCACCCCCAATGAAATCTGACCCATAAACCTTTTCTGGTCCATTTATTCCACTAATAAATTCATCTGGTTTTTCAGTATCCGGGATGACAGTGTCGTCAATAGCTACGTCGACTGCGAATGGTCCCGAACTGACATTTTGAGGTCCCACACGCTCGATATACCAGACGACTCTGATCTCATAATAGGATACTTATTCACGGTGAGCCCTTAATTTTTTATGCTGGGACAGCGAGGGTTCGGAGTTTACATTGTTTGCTTTTTCATTTGCTTGGCACCACATTCATTTATTTATTGAGCGTATGGCTTATTCACATCACATAAGTTAGCATAACAAACATAAATGTATAAAAGCATAAACAGACACAGGAAATTGCGCTGACAAACAAACATCTCAGTCATGTGTATATTCAAATGCATTCTTAGTCCGGAAGTAAGAGGGGTCGCCGGTGTACTCCCTCAGTCGATGTGGCTGATTGCATATCAACTCCACAGGCGCACCAGAGGAAAAGTTTTTACTCCATTTAAAAAGTGAGTCAGCGCATCTCCCATATTTAGTTCTAATTCTATTTAAGGTAAACCATGGTTTGCGGTGTAGGTCAAATCCATGTGGCTTGCTGGATGTACAGGCATGTTGTGGTATGCTAGTGGACCATTGACCTCCCATTATTCTCGCCAGCGGGCAGTTATGTCAAAACCGGTATCATGCAGATACTTTCCAGTTCTGAAACGGGGAGACGCCTGAAGGAGAGTCGGTTTCTTTCGAGAGTGAGGGTATCGGAGTGGATCGGTAGTTGAGGTAATAACGATCTTCTTGAATTACTTGATGAAAGCGTACTTTCTACGAAGGTGAGGAGGGGCTATGTGGCTAAGCGTGGAGAGCCAGAAAGTAGGTGTTGGTTTGTGCCGCATTGTGTGATTGAGCTGGACATCAATCAGGCTAGCGTCACATCGCGGCGCACTATTCAGCTGCTGAATATACCAAGCCCAGGGCTGAAGATCTCAATGTGCAGGCTAATGCTCCCCAAGTGGTGCCGCATAGTTTCTGGAGGATGTTATTACGCGTTTTCATCTCAGCTGCTGTTTTCGACAGATGTTTGTTAAAACTCAACGTTCTATCTTGTGTAACCCGTAGGTATTTAGGTTGTTTATTGTGAATGCATGCAGTTTTCTATTGGCTAATTCGTTGTTCAGGTGAAAACTAGAGACTTCTGTCTCAGCAGCACTTGGTTTTAGTCTCCACTTGCGGAAGTATTGTTCGATAGCCAGCAGGTCGTTTGTTAGGATATCCCCGGTTACTTGGTCCCACAGAATGATAATTACACTGCAAAAAATAAAGAGTTGGTGAATGATGGAGGGATCAATGAATCAGAAGTTCAACTTTTCTCTTCATTTCTCAATCGTTTCAGTAATTCCACAAGTCTGCAGAGAACAAATATTGAGAGCTGTTTTTTTGCGCAAATCCTATGATTTTGGCTGTGCTGAATCCGAAAATGCCTTCCGTTTTGTCTTTTTCCATATTTATAATTGCATAACATATATTTTTATTCTAAATACATTCAGTAGTAAGCACTGAACACATTTATTTTTCCGAGTGAGACTCCTTTTGGTACATTTTCGTTTGTAGGAAGCATCTTGAAGGTCTTTTTGAAGTGTCCAACAATAGTCTGCCATCAATGAGACGCTCCATCTGTCCTGGTATTTTTTTTCCATCTCCTTAATGTCTTGGTAAAATCGTTCATCTTGTTCTTCACTCACATCTCCTAAACTCTCTGAAAAGTTTTCGAAGTGAAAAAGAAGAAAATCTACTTTTAAATTTACCAACTGTATTCAGTTATTAGAAAAACAGATTAAAAACACCATACTCCAAACACACTTCACAATTATTTCCTTTCTTCTTTTGAGCTTTCGCTTCCGTTTTTTATATTGAACTACTTCCTGTGCTTCTACTTCGCCTTTTTATATAACAACGAAACTCTCGCTGTCATTGTTAAAACTATACCTGAGGCACCAAAATGACTAATAGCTCTTAATTTCGTTTTGAGGAAAAAATTCATGAGGGAAAACTAATTGGATAACATAACAACCCATTTTTAGTCATTGCAGCTTACAATGGTGTCATAAATTTGTCAGTTTAGACTTCAGCTTTGAGAAAGACAGAAGTCATATCAAGTGGAAGGCTTTGATCATAACTGTGCATAGTTGAACCAAAGAGATATCAGCAGGTAGCTTATAGAACTTCTGATAAACATATTTCATTTGGATAAACGATTTCTTGCCCTTAGTCACTGTCGTAACTTCAACTCTTTTTTGCTCACAGATCAGCCTATCTAATATCAGTTTCCATTTTCCAATTTGTTAAGATCCATCGTTTCATCTCCATTATATCCTTCTGAAAATAGTTTCAGTTGTCCAGACTATGCTGACATAAAATATGACGATTCTTTTCAATTCCTTTGTTGGAGTCTCGATCTTCCTATTTTTGTCCAGCAGTCCTCTGAATGGGCAGAGTTATCTTCTGCAGCTCTTGCGTTCTTTTTTCAGATTCTAAATATTCTTGGTGAATGCTACTATGGTCTTTCTCGGTGTGCCCTACATGTTTGCCCCACACCAAGTTTATCGTGGAATCAGATGACTCAGTCATCTGAATACCTCAGTAGTTTATGTCCACCATGCTCGAAAAGACGTAAAAACTCGTGTATAACAAGGGTCTAAAATAAATGTAACAATCTCCCTGCGACAATCCTCTCAGTGACAATCCCACTACTACTGTCTCCCTTGTAACAGTTGCGTATGTAAATATTCCTTTCAGCATGCAGTCTATTCGCAAGTAGCCTATATAGTTGAACCCGCTTCTTCTTGAGTAGTTGAAAGTATTTCACTGTTCTTCTATGTATATTCTGATTTCTCTGTAGTAGCTTGCATAGTTGAACACTCTTGTTCTTGAGAAGCTGAAATAACTGACTTGTAGGCATACTGTCTCGATGTATTAATTTGGTAACCAGTGATACGTCCTCAATGTGCTGTCAAGTAGTTGTTCTACTGCTTGTCGTGTGAAGGACATAAGTCTGATTGGTCATATGGCCTTTCCAAAATCCTATTCGATCTTCTTAGGGTTAGAAATGGCGGGGGTCCAATATTTTTGGTATATATCCCAAACTCTGACTGCCTCTGACTGAAGCACGCGGTTTGAGATCCCTTCAGTGAAAAAAAGGAGAAAAGGTGATTCACGTACAATTTTGACTATCTATGCAGATCATCAGTATTTCCCCATAATTGATATTTCATCTACATTTTCTGTAAGAACATATATCACTATCATAGTTTTAATCCATTCAATCAGCTAGTTTGATCGTGATATTATGAGTTTTCAGTTGTTATATATAGTTTTGTTTATTTCTATGTCTTTGAAGTTGAACATGTTCTGAGCTATTGTGGTCTCTTGAATATTCATTTTATATTTTCAGGGAGACCTTGAGCAACTGTCAATCGTGCCCGATCCAGCTCTAGTAAGTCTACAATGCGATACTTTGAAAATACCAATAATAGACCCACAAGTAGATGCATCTATAGACAACCTCCAAAAAGAAACAGGAAAACACATTGTAATGAAAATACATGAAGAAGTACAAAAAAACGATATTGACTAGATATATAAAAGTTGGTTAGAAAACATAGTTTGTCGCGCATTTTTCGAAAAATTTGAAAGGGGAATATTACTGCGATGAAAATTATATAAGATATTTTTCCAAATTGACATTATGCGTTCGACAAAACTTTATATTTGAAGAAAATTTGAATTTATATTGAATATTTTTGTAATTCATTGTGTTTCGATGACTTTTCTCATGAATCCTAATCAAAAGATCATTAGTCTTCATATAATATAATAATATGCAAGTATCTGTACTTCACAATTGAAATCAAGTACTTTTTTGTATGCTGTACCTGGGTGACAATAGGAACATAGGCACTCGTTAATCGTTACACTATTTTTTAATTTATCCACAGTAGCAAAAACTGACAATAATATTATGTTCTGTGCTGGCCACTTCGAAGAGTATTGTAATATCTACTTATAATCAAACATGTATATAGTTGAGCTCTCATTTATTAAACGAAATTATAAACAATCATGTTGTGTTTCAATCAATATCACTTCTGATTTTTTTTGTTGGTATTGAAAATGTAAGATGGCTGTTAACTAGAAAGGCAGCTATAGCGACTTGCTTAACTTTGGAGTGAAGGTTGATGTAGAGTATTCATAGAAAGTAGAGAATATTGAAGGTTTTTTGGTTTGTGTTTGGGATAGCGCTTCGCTGCTATCAAACTACAAGAGGACATCAATAGTGTTTATCGATGGAGTGTGAAAAATGATCTTCCGTTCAATGTATCCAAATGTTCTGTCCTGTCTTGTACCCGAAAACTAAATAAGACACTATACAATTACTTAATGAATGGTATTGAATTATCCAGGGTAGAGACTGTCAAAGATTTAGGTATATACTATAACTCCACACTCTCGTAAAAACCCCATTTGGATTACATAGCATCTCAGGCACTAAGAATTATGGGATTTGTAATGAGACACAGTGCACATTCCAATGGTATTAAAGTGATTACTACACTTTATGATAGTTTGGTCAGACGTAAACTTGAATATGGGGCTGTAGTATGGCATCCTTCTTATATTGTTCATAAAAATACATTAGAAAAAATTCAAAACAGATTTCTGAGATTTTTATATTACAGGAAATATAAAGTATACCCGGATTATAATACAATTAGAACAGTAGCACTACGAATTGAATTTAAAATACCCAGTTTAGAAAATAGAAGACAGGCAACTATAGTGTTAATGTGATATAAAATATATAAAAAAATTATAACTGTCTCAATCTCAAATCTTTACTGAAAGAGAGAATTCTCAAAAGAACAACAAGACTCATTCAATTCTTTGATGTATCATATGTATCAACAAATAACTGTTCACCTATCATTACAATGATCAAAATAACAAACAACTTCCTGTTAATGTCAGATATCAACTTTGTTCTCCCTCCCAAACAAGTTTATGGTGGTATAAAAAAATAGTTTTCAAGTTTAGAATAACTAGGTATATGTTTCTTCCTTCCATTCGGCTTTATGTAGTAACTACTCGTAGATACAATGTAACTGTATTCACGTATAAATATTAGAATTCTATTCATGATTTAGACTGTATTGACATTTTTATAAGAATAAATATTTTCATGTAATGAGGTTTTTACCTGTTTGAAAATAAATAAATAAATTTAGACGTTGCTCGGTAGAAGTCAAGAGCTCCCAACGCCGGTCGACTGTCTGAGAATATTTTTATTGACTTNTGATGATGAATAGTCCCGCATGAAAAAAGTAAACATCTGTCTGAAACAGTATTACAAAAAAAGGTTGGTTATTATTCACCGGATTACTGAATAACTCTCAAAATTGTCAACGATTCGCCTGTTTATACCATCTTAATTCGATTCATGTATGAAACGAATCTTTCAAAAGTGCTAGTACGGGTTTCTGTCAAATCAATAATGATGGTTATGATGATGAATAGTCCCGAATGAAAAAAGTAAAAATCTGTCTGAAACAGTATTACAAAAAAAGTTTGGTTATTATTCACCGGATTACTGAATAACTCTCAAAATTGTCAACGTTTCGCCTGTTTATACCATCTTAACTCGATTCATGTATGAAACGAATCTTTCAAAAGTGAAATTTGTCAGATTTTCAAATTCTTTGAATTTTCAAAAAACTTATATCAGAAACTGAAGACAACTGTCTTTTAGTTAAGGTAGTCATTTTTTTGTCAACGATACTGTCTCTCTAAATTTGTCCAATGTCAATAATGCATTTCCAGTTAACATGCTTATCTGAATTTTGACATTGAAACAACAGAGCTGTAATAGTAGTGCAACTAAGCACCTTTCTTTTCGACAATATGGTTTGTACCTGTTTCACAGTTGAATAAATCATTGTAAGGAAAATAATGAATTGAAATAGTCACGGTCGCAATACTCTAGAATACTGAATGCAAATGGATGAAATATAGATCATCTATGTACTACTTTCAACGGAAGATTGCAAAAAGTAACTTAATTCATTCATTACGAGTATGAAGAATTATTCATTAAAAATCGTACTTGACCCTTATCCCATTTAACATTCAAGGGTTGATCCTTACTTCGCTAGCGGCGTGGGAGTAACAAGATTAAGTATATGAAAAACGTTCTCCGATCAAAAAAACTATTTTCTTACGAAGTTAATTATGAGAAAGCGGTATTTTCATTGACTCAGTCTTTGTATGAAAACACAAATTTCGTCGAAAACCTAGTTTACTATCCCAAATGTTAATACTTTTTTTTGTGTTTTCGACATAGGCAGCTAAGGTCATTAGCTTTGTGTTATAGGTACGGTTTGTCAATAACTCTTCGAGCCACCTAAAACATCACGTCTCTTCGCAGTCCCGTTAGACTTCTAATGAAGCAAAGTATATCAACCTTCAACTATATAAATACCCACGAGAAAAAATATGTATGGCTGATTTGAACTAATGTCCTTTGTATCGTGAAAACAAAACTTCATTGACAGAAAAGATATACGTCAGACGAAAATAAATTGCCGTCTATCTGTCAGTTCACTTCATAAAGAATACACCTCGAAATTTCAAAACCCATTCATTCTGACGTCTACAACAATCGAAAACGCTTTTAAATACTTCATATTGAAATGGGGCTGAACCGGCGTCGAGCGCATTATGAAAAGCGTCGGGACGACATCTCCGCCGCAACGCGGCTTGGAAATTTCCTCATTTTCTCTAACTCGTTTATGAACGTTTCTCTGGAATTATCGCAGAACTATTTTCGAGTCGGCCTGAACTCACAAACAAATTAACAAGCGTGAATGCAGCTTTCCAAGAAAATAAATTTTGCTCTGATTAGATTTCGCTTCTCAGATAAAATTTAATTTGATCGGAAACTTGATTTTCTGACTTTCGATTGCCAATCGCGATGTTCTACAATATTTTCAAAAGAACTGATGAAGACAAATTTCTTATCATTTTTTGTTATTAGAGAAGCTCTCCTGAAACTCTATTTGATGATAATAGATTCAGTTCATTTTTGTTTACGGAATTGGTTACTTCCATTGACACATCACTTAGCAACCAGCCATTTTCATTTTGAGGAAACGAATATTGCAACTGTCATATCAACTTGTTGAAAATACAAATCATCTTCTTCGAAGAAGTCTTTTCAGGATTCAATATCATATTTTATCTTTATTAGATGATGATTCAAGGTCAGCCTGAAATCTAGTATCACTTCCTGATATTCGAAAGATTTAACTATTTCTGAAGTCCTGGGTTCCCTGTTTTGAACAGTTGTGTACATGCTCCTTTTTTGAAGTCCTGGGTCCCCTGTTTTGGACAATTGTGTAAATGCTTCTATGATCAAATTCCTTGACCATGTTCAGCCCTTCTTCATCGGCATTGGCCACTTTTTTTGGATATATCCAGTGGATTGAGTTCTTGGGTATATCTAATTCTACTTGGGGTATATTAAGACATACTCCCTAGTTATGTCTGGATGAATGTGGGTTGATTAGTTATATTCAGGTATATTTAGTAGTCGTTGCAGTAAAATCACCTGAACAATATTTTAACTATGAATTGCAACAATGCGAGGACGGAAGCCGGATCCCTAGGCGACAATATTTTCAAACTTATCGAGATTTTCTTAATTGAGCTCATCAGATGGGAAAATGATTGACTACCTTTATATAAGGTGTTTCAACAGGCACTTTGGAACTTCGACAATTGGTAACGGCCGTCTTGCCGTCTATCAAATCAGTTGTAATCATTCATTCAGTAGGCGGGTTGGCTGTCCATGTTCATCTTTCACTGTCTGAACCACTGTGCATGCTATTTTTGGCGAGTACATTGGCTTGGTATGTGGGGGTTGAGCAAACTGGCCATCGGAAGCCTACTTCCACGTAGCCCCTCTGGATACAGGAATGCAAGAATCACTTGTGGTTCTGTTACTCCCTAACTGAATGGCATCCCAACGATCGCTCATTGTGTGTGTGTCTCCATGCCGAGAGGATGAATGACTCTGAGCCTATCAGCTCTCTCTACGGAACCTTCCAGTCATCGAGCGCTCTCTCGTCGTAGCACCGACTTGTCACGGTAATGCGGGGCTCTGCCGTGATTAACCTTCTTTCCCTAGCTACTCGTGGGATTTTTATGGACAGAGTGAAGTTAAAAATCCTTTCTGACGCTGAGTTTACAGAGGAGGTGGATGTCGAGCTCACGACTCCAACTGACCTTCCTGTAAATTTATAGCAGGAGCGAGTCAACAGAGGAGATGTGTCAAGCTTACGAGTCCAACTGATCGCCCTGTAAATTCAGATTAGAAGCGAGAGCTTCCCAACTCTCCAACTCCTGATCCAATTACTGAACCTAAAAAAAAAAGGTTTGGTGGTGCAGACAGGAAACGACTGAGTCGTCTCCTCAAGAGCGGGGTACCTTATGACGCGGAGTACCTACCTATGTTTCAGGTGGAAGAACGAACCCTCCATAAGCAGGTTAGCAAACGTTTGCGCTCAAGTGATGATTTACCAAAACCAGAGACAAAAAAGGCCTGCATGACTGAATGTAAGGCATCGTCAGGTGTGGCTGACGTGCAAAAACCCTCATATGTGAAAATTGTCGCGGGTATTAGGGTGGGAATCTTGCACCTTGACTATCCGACTACCTTATTAACGATGAAACAGCTGAGCATATGCTTTGTGCCTGCCCCGCTAGTGATCAAATCAGGTTTTTAGGGTACGGAGAGCCGTATTCTCACCATCTGACCTGAAAGACCACTCACTATACAAACTAATGGCTTCGTTAGGAAGCTCGGTTTATTTAACCGAGTGTGAATAGATATGAGCCACAATGAATTCATTCAGTATGTTTTGCTAAATCACCATGGACGGATATAGGATTCAACAACTGGTGCGAATGATGAAATTGCTTTATGGTTTTCTGTTCGAGCAACTTAACGTGCCCATCGCCCACTTTTCGGTCGCCATAATCCTTCTACCGAGAGGACTATTCGCAA